GTAATTTTCAAGTTGGAATATATTTGACCAGAAAGAATACATTACAGCACTCTAAGAGGGAGAAAAGTAAAGTTACACATGTTAGCTACACTCCATCTTTGTCCTTTTCCTAATCCCAGCATTTAATGGTGCTGTTTCCCAAAACCCCGTCTCCCTGGAAGGTTGGGCAAGCAGGCATGTAGGTAGTTTTTTTAACCACAGAAGAGATCACCTAACATGAGATTGGGTTTATAGATTATTTGTTAATCTTTGTGGAACTGTATTTTCAAGTATACTTTTCACATCAAATATTCTACCCAAAGTGCTCATATTATTTGTCAGATCTTATATCCTGATTTCTGGTGAGGAAAGAGAGTCATCATAAATGTAAACCTTATGATCTTGTGTTCAGAGGGCATTTTATAATAGCAGCTTTACCAGGCTTATCAAGGTCTCATTTACTTCCACCAGTATGATTGGCCACCCTGAAGAAGGGCCTAGCAATTGCTTATCAGTCGTAAGCATGATCTATCTGAGGAGAACACTTGGGTGGAGAAATGTTGCTATGTTTTCCAAACTTGAACTTGAGCTAAAGGAGCTGTTTGTGGGACAGTGGTGAGCCAATTCCAAGAAGAAGCTATTAAGCATCCAGGCCTTAAGAGCCAAATTCTCATGATGGACTGGAGAGAAGGAGTCCTGGTGCCACGCCTTCCACACCAGCCTGGCTGGTTGTGAAGAAAACAGCAAAAATTAGAAACCTTTCCTGGAACTAGCCTTGGAAACATCTAGGCTCTCCTGGAAGCAGGGACTAGGCTCCCACACCTTGTTGGCAGATGCTGTAAACATGTGTTATTGCTCTATAGACATAGATCATGGAGGCTGAGAACCACAGTCTTGGGGCATGAGGAGGCATTTAGCAGAGGTGAAGCCCATAGGCTCTGAAGCCAGGCCACCTGGCACTAACCTCCATGCCACCAGCCACTAGCTATGTAACTATGGAAAGGCCATTGAACCTCTCTAGGACTCACTTTTCTCAACTGTAGAGTGTGATTAATAATAGTACCTGAGTTGTTGCCAGGAGAAAATGGAATAATTCAGGTAGAGTGTTGAGAACTGCACGTGGCCCATGGTAAGTATTCAGAACATGTTAGTGAGTGTATAGGGGTTTTGGTGTGCCAGGGAAATCCTTTACCCAATGGCTGAATCCCTACCAGTGCATCTCCTCCAAGAGCTTATTTAGTCAAGGTTTGAATGCCTCTGAGGATGGGATGCCTACTACCTCTTAAAGCATCCCGTACCACCTTCACATACGTCTGTTTCTTGAACATATTTGTGTTGAATCTAAATCCATTCTGAATCCTTCCTTGTTGGTCCTAGCTCCATCACTATGGTCATACAGAATTCATCTAACACAATTTATTTATATCATGTAAAAATTATTGACATCATTCTCCCTACCTACGCTTTTCCCCATTCCATGAGTCTTATCTTTTCCTGACCTTTGAATGTCATGGTTTCAGATTCCTTTGTCATTTCTGTCTTCTGAAAGCAGCCTGCCCTTACAAATGTGATTTACTCCGTGTGCATTGAGTCACTACTGTGCACTGATACAAATATTAGATGAGGCTCCAGGGACTCTTAGTTAGGCAGGGAATAGCATTCTAGGCAGGGGGAACAACATATGCTAAGATAGGGAGGCATGAAGCCACAGAAGTTCAGACGGTTTGGTATATTATTGGAATTACTGTATAAACCAGAATCAAATGTGGTCAAACTGTGGCATGAGGCAGGTGAATTTCACCTGTAGATGGTGGGAGTCATTGGAAGATTTCAGCGGGGGAGGAACATGTTCCAATTTGTGCTTTAGTAGACCATTCTAACTGTGGCATGAAGATTGGGCAAAACTGAATGTAGGGAGATTGTTAACTGAATGATGAACACCAAGGGGATAGAGAGGAGGAAAATGAGTCATGGGCCAAAATATCCAAAAATTATACCAAATGGCTAACAGTGGTTATGTCTGGGTGGTAGGATATGGGTGATTTCTTTCTCCTTTTTGTTTCCCCGAGTTTTCCAATTCCTCTATAATAAGTATTTTCCATTTTTTCCTATATATAGCACATGTTATTTATGTAGTAGAAATAATTTAGTCTAAAATAGTTCAGAATCAAACTGGCAGGACTTGATCACTGATGGAAGGAGGTACCAGAGGGTTATCAGTCTCCTGATCTGGAAACTCAGGTGGGAAGGGTGGCCACCAACAAAGCCCAAACAGGGGCTCTTAGGAATTCTGTGGCATCTCTGTGGCCGAAAGGAATTCTGGGCTGCTGTGACTTCCTTTTGGCCTCTTTGCATCCCACTCAGTAGTCTCTGCCTGGGTCCGTGGCACCTGAAACTTCCCGACCATGCATATACCTGCCTGTCTGGCAGACTCATTGCAGCCAAGCCCATCAGAGCTCCATGACAGTGGCAGTGTTTCCTTAGACTGCGTGTCACTCCTTCGGTAGACACTTACCGAGCTGCTGTGTGCTCAGCACCAAGGTAGACTTAGCCATAAAATAGTCAAAGAATGGACAGTGCAGTCTTCACAAAACTCAACCGGATATGAGAGACAGACAAAAATGTTAAAAAATTATTTAATGAGCATATGATTCCAAACTGAGACTAGTGCTCCAAAGGAAGGAAATGTTTCCAAGAAGACATGTAAGAAAGGAAACTTCTTTGGTCTGGGAGATTGGGGAAGGATCCCTGGGAAGAGAGATGCTTGGGCTGAGAGCCAAAGGGTTAAGTAGGAGGAAATATTGGAAAAGCGGTCCAGCTGAGGGAACAAGCAGCATTTGTGGCCACCCGGTAATGGGAGGAAGTATGGCTTGTTTGAATCTAAAAGAAAAGTTGTCTAACCAGGAGTCCTAAGAGTGAGTGGCAGGGGATGGAAGTCGGGGGAGAGGTGTGCTGGTTGACCCTCTGGGGCCTTATAGGGCATGAGAAGGATGTCAGAATTTATTCTAAGAGCAGACCCTCTGGCTGTGGCACAGAGAGAGTTTCCCATCCTGTGTCTCCTACCATTTTCTTGCCATCTGAGGCCGTGGCACTGGAGGCCTGATAACAAAGGCCCCTCCTTGCAGCAGACATCCTGAAAGTTGCTTTGCAGTTCAGTTTTTAACTCTGTCATGACTTTGCATACTTTATCACTAATGTGTGTACAACGTGCTAAGTAATGGAATCATTGGGATCTGAAACATCTCGTTCTAATGAGAGGCTGCAAATTAATTCCCAGGTGAAATGATTCCACCTTTTCTCTTCCTTTATTTTTCTCTCCCAGCGTGGCTGTAGCTGTAGAGAATTCCCTTAGTTAGGCTTGTGAAGACATCCACCAGATCACAAAGTGCCAGTGACCCCCTGCGGTCTGGGGAGCGGGAGACCCAGGCTTTGTTCACCCAGGGAGGAGGGCGATGGGTGAATACAGAGGGAAGTTCCAAATACTTAGAAAAGTGGGGCAATGTCCAATGTCCATGGTGAGTGGGGAAGTCAGACAGTGACACTGGGGTGTGATTCAGAGGTGGGGGTCCTATCATACCTGTGTGAGAGGCGGCCCACAGAAGATTTCTGCACAGCTAGCCTAGATGTAAGGCGGGTGAGCCTGCCCTTCCCCCACATCTCTCCTAGGATGTGGAGACTTGGTGCGCTCATGTTGGCAGAAGCTTTCCTAGGACTAATCGTGGGTGACTTGCCGGTGACCACCTCTTGGGCATTTGCAAATGAAAACTTGCCACATCCCCTTTAAACAAGGAGCATTCTTGATGTGTTATTTATGCTTGAGCTTATAAGGAAGGGGGTCCTTTTCCTCATAAGTCAACAGTACAAACCTATAGCCCTTGGGGTGCACTGACAAGACCCATGTGCTAAATAGTTTTCCATTTACTCTTCTTTTTTCCTTGAAGGTACCTTAGTTTTTTTTTGTGGTGATAGATAGATAGATGATAGATAGATAGATAGGTGATTGATAGATAGATAGATAGATATAGAGATATAAATTTACCATTTAACCATTTTTAAGTGTACAGTTCTGTGACACTAAGTACATTCACGTTGTGCAACCACCACCACCATCATCCATCCCTATTTTTGTGGTGATAGATAGATAGATGATAGATAGATAGATAGGTGATTGATAGATAGATAGATAGATAGATAGATAGATAGATAGATATAGAGATATAAATTTACCATTTAACCATTTTTAAGTGTACAGTTCTGTGACACTAAGTACATTCACGTTGTGCAACCACCACCACCATCATCCATCCCTATAACTTTTTTCATTTTCTCAAACTGAAATCCAATACCTATTAAACACAGACTTTCTTCAATGGGGTTTTTGAATGAAAGGCTATAATGTTCTTCAGACTTGGGTCCTGAGGGAAGGTGGCCTGGTGAGAAATCTGTAGGAAGAGAGGTCCACCCATGTAATCCAGAGAAGGTGCCCTCAAAGCTACTTCCTCAGCCCTCTCATGGAGGTCTCACCGCCCGGAGGTATCCCAGGGTGTGAATCAGTTTCAGCAAAGGAAGTCCCACCCCCTTGATGCCCTACTACCAGGCCAATCTGTTTTAGAGCATACGGGTCAGCCATAGTCTCTTGAGCGATCACCACGTCCTTGCATGGCTGCCTCTAGTCAAAGTGAGCCTCCCTATAGGGAGTCGCTGCTACAGGAGAAGAAGAGAGTAGGTTGTCTTTAAGATGGGATGCATAGTTCTAGGTGAAACAACATGTTCTTCCCCTTGGATGGATAGCCCTGCCTGTCCTTTCATTTGGATTTAGCTCCAGAGAGATTTGGAGTCAGGCCAGCCCGGGTGTCATTGCTCTGTCACTCAGTTTATCTAAAAAAGGGGGTCCATGGTGCAAGGAGTATGCTAAGAAGATGGCATGAGATCATGTCAGTATGGCATCCAAGATAGCACATGATTCAATAATGGAAGCTGGTGTTCTCACTATTGTCACTGTCTATGATTTGTCATTGTAGGTCTCCAGGTGGTTCTGAATTCCATCATCAAGGCCATGGTTCCCCTGCTGCACATCGCCCTGCTAGTGCTGTTTGTCATCATTATCTATGCTATCATTGGCCTGGAACTCTTCATGGGGAAAATGCATAAGACCTGCTACAACCAGGAGGGCATAGCAGGTAAGGGAAGATGCTGACTGGCCAGCTGTCAAGAAGCTTTACTATGTTGTCACTACTTTTCATTCAGCCAGGGACATGGCCTCCACCTGACCAGCAGTGCCCGGGAAGGCCTCCATTCCAGGGCTCATTTCCAAACCATGGTTAAGGGAGAGGCAGAGATTGGTTGTCTTTTTCTCTTGATAATTTTTGTTTTTACTAAAATAGATCTCGGTTACAAATAGCTAAGTGCAAGCTTTGTGCAGCGCTACTCAACACTGTTTAAATGAGCTGTGCGATTTGAGAAACATCTCTTAGCCAACCTTGAATATTCTAATTTAAGAATCAGAATTAACCTAAGGACGTAGATCTATGCTCTGTCGGTTCTTCAGTGTTGCTGGCCATCAAAAGTCCTTTCAGGAAGGTGGCGTTGCCTGTCCCCAGCAGGTTGAGTGTTCGGGCTGATCCTGGCTTCTCTGCTTCTCCATTCCTAGGCACAACCCCGGCCCTGTCTCAAGCTGGGAGGAGGTCGGCCAGTGGTGAAACCTCTTTTCCTCCAGGAGAAGGTTTCGCTCTACCTCATGACTTTGTAGTCCTTTCCTTTTTGAGAACTTCGCTTTTGTGTTCCTTCCATAAATCAATCTATTTAACATGCATGCTGGCTCATTAAGCACTTCCTTGAGTAGATCTAGAGTTTCAGCCTGAAGAGTATGCTACAACTACTGTCTTAAGTTACTAAAATCTCAACTTGACATTAAAAAGAACATTCAAACAGAAATTGACAAGGCTTTTTAACAGACATATAAAGTAGTTCAACATAAGAACTTGTTGAAAAATACCCCCAAGGGGTTAGCAGTCTTAAACTTTCATGATTTATTATTTTTTCATAACAACATCATTCATCTTAGTTTTTGGCATCTTGGTAAGGAAAGGGGAACATGTCTGAAGCATTAAAGGATTGTGCACGTCTCTCAATCTACTGCCCCTGTTTTCTATCAGCCCAGAATTAATCCTGTGTGACCCCTCTTGTTTGGGGGCTGACCTATAACAGGGCGTAAAATGGATTATTCATATTCAGAAACTGAAATGGGTTGCAGAATCTGGATGATCTGTTTTGATTGGCTATATTGGGTATTTTCAAGGTCGCTGCCATATATGGCCACAGTCCCTAAACAAACAAAAAGCTATAAACCCATAAGCACAGTCTCACACAATGGTTTTTACTTTTTTGATGGAGAATGTTTAATAGGAGACCATTTTTTCACTCTAGAGAGAATTTCCAAATTACTGGGATCATAATTGTATAAAATAAACTGTCATATTAAATAACACAGAAGCCCTTTAGTATTGGAACAAACAGGCTTGCCTTTAGCTAAAATTCTGAGGTTTCAGCCTTGCCTAAAGAAATACCAAATAATGCAATGAATAATATTTTCCCCTTGAATTCAAATCCTTCCTTATGTTCAGTTTCATCTGTAGCTAGCCCCAGGCCAGTAAATTTATAGTAATTCTGTGGCTTTGTTAGAGCTCATTGTGAGCCCTACTTAAGAGCTACTGTAGTATATCTAAAGTTTATGCACTTGTACTAGTATTGAAGTGATCAATGACCTGTTTGGCCCAAACTTCTCAGGAAGTCACTGGGATGTTGAATCTCAAAGATCCCCATCAATTCAGCAGTGGATGCTGGCATACCTCTCACTAACCACATATCAAATGGGAAAGAATGAAATGGTGAAGTCCTTCCAAAAAGCCAAAGATGGCAGTCCTGCCCTGTGCACCACTGAGCTACAGGGCACTGTTTCCAACACTGCACATGGCTCCTATCATCCTGCTGGGAAAGTGTGTTTTCTGCTGGTGGCAGGGTCCTGGAAAGGCCTGTGCTAATAAGCAACCCTGAATATTGGTTGGAAGTCACTGGGCTTTGCTGAGGCCTGCAGCAGCCTCACATGGCAAGGAAATGGTGGGCGTGATAGACCAGGGAGAGACAGGATGGGATACTCTGCCCCGTGCAGCTGGGCAGTCTGGTGAAATAGCCCCTCAAGCCTGCTCAAAGTTTTAGTGGCCTTTTTGCTTTTAGGATAAAGACCTGAACTGGCCTCACCAATTGCAGTGGCCAATTTAGGGCCTTATTAATGTCCATCCTCAATAGTAATCAGGACCAGGAAAAGTACCCAAGACATTGCCTACTTCCTACCAGGGATGCATCAGATTATTTATGTGGTGGGTTTTACCTTCACCCCCAAGTTCACAAGGGAAGGTAGCTCCCATCACGGAAATGACCATCAGCCCTGGGAGCCAGTATGTCAGAGGACAGACACCAAAGAAGCGCTTCTGAGAGGGGAGCCATGCGAGCTCCACTGGAAGGTGACCTTTCTGTCCATGTGGAGCCAGACTCCCTGCTGGGGAGAGGACAGGGAACATGTGGCTGCAGGAGCCTTTCCTCCCAATACTGCAGTCAGAGCTCACACACCTCCTCTTACTGATCCTGCTGCCCGATGACAACCCTGGGACCCACTCATCCATCTCTCCCAACAGAACACGACACAGCTGTCCTCAGGGCCTCTCTCACCCATAGTGACGAACCCTGATGAGGAGGGAACATGTACAGGAATCTGGACGTACTTGATGCAGCCAGAGTAGAAAACCAACCCTGCAGTCTTTGAAACCAATCTTATGTGTTTTGGAGAGTTTCATACCACCTTTGGAATGGGTGTCTTTTTAAAGTCCAGTCTTTAGATTGAATTACCATGTTTTCTGCAAACTTAGATTATACAGAAGTGTTTGTGAGCCCTTGTTAAAATATTTAATGGGTCCGGTCAGTGTGGCTCGGTGGTTTAGCATCGACCTATGAACCAGGGTGTCACAGTTCCATTCCCAGTCAAGGCATATGCCTGGATTGGGCTCAGTCCCAGGTGGAGGGGTGGGGTTGTGGGAGGCAGCCAATCAATGATTCTCTCTCATCATTGATGTTTCTATCTCTCTCCCTCTCCCTTCCTTTCTCTGAAATCAATAAAAACATATCTTTAAAAAAGAAAAAAGAATTGTTAGTGGGATTTACATCCAATTCTTCTTTTTACATTTTGAGTTTCTTTTTCAGACTGGATTTTATGTGCTTGTAAATTTTAGAATACATTGGATTTTGAGCCATGTTTCCTAGAAAATATATAAAGAAGCGCTGGAGCCGGCCAGGCGAACCATTATTCTGCCTCTAGGATGCCCCCGCCAGTTCCCAGGAGAGGTGGCCTCAAGAGAGACAATGTTCCTCCAGTCCCTGAGGCACCTGGCAGGTGCCCCCCAGGGTCCTCCGCAGGTGCACCAGCATATGCTGGCTCCTTTTGTCTCTGGCGTCCCATCTGTTTGATGGTGCTCTGAGCCAGGTCACTCTGAATGGCTCTCCCAAACACAATAATTACCCCAGAGACTGGCAAAGAATGGGTTGACTAAAACCTAGAAATGAAATCATTTTCATTCTATTCACTCCTTAAAATTGGGGCCTAAAAAAGTAATTGGTTTTGTCTCTGGTATTTCTCCTTGGAACCCCTAACTGGCACTGTCCCAGGGTTTCATGCTCCTGTTGGTATTAACCGCTTTTTTAAAATCTCTCATAATCTGGCCTCCATTAGTTTACTTCGAACTTAATTTGGACTTTCCAGAATGACTTTACCACGCTTCACCCACATTGCTTTGTTTTTTCTCCTCCCTCATGCCCACCCCGCCTCACCGGGGCTT